TCTCTCCCTTACCCCCACCTACCCCCTGTTCCCTTTCACGTAACAAAAAGAGCCATTGAATCATGCTTTAAATCCTCAGGAGATCAGGAGCTACACTTAACCTCAGTACTTTTTCATCTCTACACACACAGTACATGTAGCACATTAGCATAATTAATAAAGGGGACTGACTTGTGGCTTGAACACATAAAAGTTGTTGTTGTGATGAATTTGAAGAATGAATGGCGGCTTTTCTTTGGTTATCATAAGTGTCAGGATCTCTCTTTCTACGTCAATATGTGTTTGGGACACAATGTGCAAGGGAATTTAGTTAGGGAAGAAACATGGGGTGGCAGTATTTCTCCAGTATAGAAGACCTAACAGGATGCTGCTTAAACAACAAAGCTAGGATTAAATGGCAGTTGGGTGCCATACACAGGTAATTGTGTTACTGCACGATTAAATTCTTCCTTATTGCCTAGTGGCAAACAAAACCGATCATAAAGGATAAATCTGACTCACACACCCCACCCCCGATTTAAACAAACATGGGTATAATCCACAGTCCTCTGTAAAAAGTAATTTGTCACTTCATAGGCCAATCTAGCACATAAGCCTCGAAACATCATTGTACTCAGGCTAGATCATGTCCAGTCCACCATGCACAACACCTACTCTGACGAGGCAGAAGGAAGAGCTGCCACCACCTCCAGCAGGAGTAAAAGGGTACCCAAACTGAGTACTGACACAAACAGGGACATAGGCAGACCTGCTCCCACAGCTGTGGAGGGACACACAGCCATCTAGTGGCTGATTCTTTTGTGAGAGATGGCTGGACAAGGTAGTGGTCCAAATTTTAACCTCACGCTATTTTTGATGCTTTGCAGTTATTTATTTCTACACCCTATTTTTATTATACTAGTAAGGCACGCAATAAACATTTGGGAGCAAAAACTGAAGAACAGTGCATAGCAGAAACCTGAGAGTTAAATATAAAAAATTTAATACTTTATCAGCAAGTTTCAATTAAATATAAGGACATAATCACTCTCATAGTGAAGGATAAATTCTTACTACAATTCCAATATCTAATAAAATTCAATTACTTTGGTAAACTAAAATCTTACAACTATTACATTACAAAAGTAAAATAAAAAAATTTAAAAAAAGAAAAAAAAGAGAAAAAAGAAAAAACCGCACCTTTACGTACATGATAGGAAAAAACGTTTTATTTTATGACTGTTCTTTTATAGAACACGTTTCAAAAAACCACAGGTAAATGAAACACAACAGTAACAGCTCATACACAGTGAAGGTGATTTAAATATTACTTATCTGTTACTATCTTCTACACAACAGGCCAAGATACAGTGATGTGATATTCACCCTCTTCCCATCAAAGCAACCCCCAGTTGTACGTAATGCTAACCAACTCCAGTAAGGAAATCGGACCCCAGAATTTCCCATTCTTTAATTAGAAGGATGAGATCTGCTGATCTTCAGTCAGAGCCGGGAAAGTCATCTTTGCCTTTACCCATGAAAGATTTGAGGTTCAGTGATTGGTTTGCAGACCTGAGTCATACTTTGACTTTATGAAAAGAACAAAAAGAGCAGCAATAAAAGGTAAATTGTATTTTGTTGTTTTGTGCTCATTAAAAAAACAAACAAACACCAAAACACCAGACTCTGTCCTCTATATCTTACATAATGAAAGACACTGAGAGTTAAAAATCAATTTCCAAGAAGATGGATTCCTTCCTTTCTTTTCATTTAGAATCTAAAATTCTGTTTCTTGACTACAAAGCTGTTAAATTTGATTTTTGTAAGCATCATCATCATTAGTGCAGTTCTCTTTCTTTCTGTTTTTAAAGGGTGATAGCTAGTGTCAAAACACAAGTTTTTTAGGCACCTCCCATGAGAATTCATTTCTTCCAAAGTGACCATAGCATGCAGTCTTCTGGTACATGGGCTTTTTTAGGTCCAAATCCCTGTGTGTATAATAAAAAGAAGATAAAATTCTTCACATTAAGATTCCTCATGAAGAATCCTTAATCATTAAAATCCTAATGTTGATGTCCACTCACACCCTTAGTCAAGGAAATATATTCGGAACATACAAGCATACCATTAGAATATGTCCAAAGGAAACCCAGAAAACTGACAACAAAAATTAAATGTGAAGTACTTGAGGGCAACAGGAAAAGTCCTTATTATTGAGAATTAATTTTAACGGAAAAGGTGAAATAACCTTCAGTTTATTTTGTAAAAAAAAACCATACTTTTTTCATGGCAATGCAACTTTAAAATTAATGAAATACAAAAGTTATTTTGAGTAATTTTTTGAGTAATTTGAATTCCACATACTACATAAGGCCAAAGACTGGAAGTATATCCTCCATTTGGAATTTCAAAAGTACATCTTAAAAGATACAGCACACTGGTAAATCCATAAAATTATCAGCTGAAGACTTACAATGACACAAATTCTATTTTGTGCTGCATGGGCTGATCCTATGCTTGTTCAAGACTCTAACACTGTAACATCCAGGTTTTGCAAGAAATAATATCCATAATGTGTTCCTGATATTTTTCTTTTTTTGTGTCTTACTATACCTGACAATGACTCCAGGCCGAAGATCAAAGTTTTTGTGCACAATGTCCAGTAGCTCTTTCTCTGTTTTTTTGGAAGTTCCGTAAGTAAACAGTGAAATGGACAATGGATGAGCAACTCCAATAGCATAAGAAACCTAAGACAAGAAAGACACCATAAATTAGCAAATAAACATGGCACTTCAGAAGGCAACTGAAGAAAGCATTTATTCATGAACCATCTTACGAAAACTCCCCTTCACTTGCCATATCTGCACAATCTGTATTTGTAGAAGAAAAAAGAGAAAACTCTGAAATGCTGAGGTCTCTGGATAACTTTCTTTCCCGTTACCCAGTCACTCCATGCTTATTTCAATGACCGTAATTGTCAGGAGGTTGAGGGCTCAATAAATGTGACAAAGATCAGCCAATAAAATGAAAGCTAAATTAAAAGTTCCAGCTTCAAGAAGGTGATAGGCTGTTAGAGAAAGTACAGTTGTCTTGAACCAACCATATCAAGGTATTTCTTCAGTCCTAAACTATCATCAAGACTTCCTATAGCACATTGTCTGATATGATATTTATACAAAGTAAACTGAAAATAAAAAAAACTTTGAGAAAATCAATATTCATAGCTAATCCTACCTGAACCAGAACACGGCGACAGAGCCCAGCTTTCACAAGAGATTTAGCCACCCAACGGGCTGCATACGCAGCTGATCGGTCCACCTTTGTATAGTCTTTGCCAGAAAAGGCACCACCTCCATGGGCTCCCCAGCCGCCGTAAGTGTCCACAATGATCTTTCTACCAGTAACTCCAGCATCACCCTGAATGAGTAAAAGAAGTTGTCCTTTTTAAAATCTGTGTTATTAGAAGTCTCAAACAAGGCTTTTCATCCTTCAGAAGACTACAACAATATGCATGTTCACCACATATGGATTGCTCTAGGGTAGCTGAAGGAATGAACCTATCTCACTAAGCTATAACATTAGCATGGCAAACTCAAATAGAGAGCCAAGGTTTTTCTTAGAAAGATAGCTGAGGTTTTCATGCTGGGTTCTTCTACCTGACAGGTTGTCCTTCTGGGTTCTTCTACCTGACTCAAACCTTAATTTCTGATGGCGCAGAGACTTGCAATGAGAATAACTTTTATGCCATCATGACTTGAATGCAGAACTGTAAGAGGAAGAGAAATGGACAGGTGAAAGGAGAAAAAAGAAATAACCGTTCACGTTTTAAAAGGTGCTGAAAGAACACCAATGTATTCGTAAAGTGGGTGCAAGTAATTTTTGCAACTAGGTCTAATGTCCACCGAGTACAAGTGGGTGCTGCTGTTGGGAAAATGGTTACAGTAGCAATATTACTAATTTTGCTATTGGCAGAATTCAAGGTACAACAGTGCTGAAAAGCATAAGGTAGAATACGTGTCTTCCTTAGATGAACTAACTTGGAGATAAGACAGCCTTCTATACCAAGTGTTATTAAAAATGAAACTACTACTCTTACAATTACAATCATAACATTAAAGATGTAAAAAAAAAGGAAAAAAATATTTTCTGGTGGCTATAATGCTATTTTAAATTGCACGAGTTACAAGCACAGTTGTAAGAACACAGACACACAGGTAGATTGACTCATGCAAAATAAACTTCTCAGGGGCATAAAAAGCTGTAAACAAACGGCTACGTTCCTGTGTTTCTATGTGCAAACCAATTGAGTTATACATAAAGAATAGAAAATGTATCCTGGTTGGCCTACCAAATGTAGTGATAGTACTTTTTTTAAACAGGTGCAGTTCACTGCACACTGGAAAGATTTACTTTTTTATGGGTGCAGTTCTGTGCACACATGAAAATTTTCACATGTGCAATCTTCTTTTTGTATGTAGCTCTAACTGCTGCATTGGGTCATATGCTCCAAGTTAGATTTGTCTTCCCATTTGTCCATAGTCTAGGATGTCAATGATACATAAAATTACACTGATAAAAAGAATTCAACAACAACAAAAACATATTTTTTTTATATAATTGTTGTTTTAATGAATAGTCTCAACACCTTCCTGTCTGTTCCATGGTGGTAATGTAAAAAAAGATATAGATATAATTCTAGCAAATTCTAGTAACTTAATGAATTTGAAGAGCAAATTAAGAACAATGTCTACTTCAATCTGTTGGAAAATTGGACCCAAATTCAGGAAGGAGATTGAAATTTTGCAGTGATAGTTCTGAATAGAACTGAAAATAAAAGCATTGGGAATTCCAAATTTGTTTACAAGAACAGAATTTCAAAAGTCCCGATCCTACAGAGTGGAAGTTTTGCCTGACTCCTGTGAGTGCAGGATCAAATTAAAAAATCTCAGTTCCTGCAGTGTGTAGATACAGTAAAAACAGCATTTATTTTGTCAGCAGGAAAAGCATATCAGGGGTTGATTTTCAGAATAGAGTAACAGCTTCATCTGTCATTATTGTCAAACAGAACAATGTGAATTATATAGATCTGAAAATCAGGTTCACTGTAACAGAAGTAAATCTCATCTCCAGCTCTCTGTCAGGAATGCTTTCCATTACAAAGTCTTTTAGTGCTGGAATGAAGAAAGTTTGAGGAAACCCAGACCTGGGCTGTACATTCCATACACAGTGTAAGATTCTGCTCAGCTTGTCTGCCTAGTCACAATGCATGTATGATATAATCACGTCCTCAAAGGATATTTTGGCATACAGCACATGAAACCCTAGGTGCTTCCTCCCACACAGAATTGCAGATAAACCTTCCAGTAGGCAGCTTACTCCTTACACCTTAGGACAGACACATCAAAAAGCTGAGCATTTGAGACATATCCAATGACAAAGGCAAGCTGATAAAAGCACCAATATAATACAACACAAACCTGAGGCCCTCCAATAACAAAACGTCCACTAGGTTGAAGGTGATAAATAGTTTTCTCATCCAAGTATTTTGCAGGGACAACAGCTTTGATAACACGATCCCTCAGGCTTCTGCGCATATTCTCCAGTGAAATGGTTTCATCATGCTGCACGGATATCACGATAGTGTGAACACGCACTGGGATGACTGCTCCATTCTCCTGGATATACTGAACTGTAACCTGAAAAGAACAGGGAGAAGGAGGAAGAAAAAAACAGAAGTTCAGTAAAAGTTAATACTCATCTACATCAAACACCATACTATGGTATTCCAAGAGCAAAATGCCAACTCTGGTATTATAATGACCAGCGCCCATGTTGTTGCCAAGGTATGAAAAATGAAGTTTATTTTCTCATTTTTGCTGTGCTAAGGGAGACAAAAAGAAAAAAAGTAACTCAACATGGACAATGTTATTTTCTATGAACTTTTCTAAAACGTGTTCTTCAATTGGCATTTCCAGTGAAATGCTTAAGCCTCAGAAATTTACACTCTCGGACCATCTTCAAAAAGGCCAGCTTCATTCCCTAAATACAAATAAATACTTTGTATCTCTTGTCGCTTTTTTTAACAGCACTGATCACTTAGGTGTGGAGGGTTAAACCTTTCTGTACTGTAAGTGGTTAAGTGCTGCTAGCACTCTGATACAAGTTAACAAGTTTCCATCAGTTAAGGAGACAAGCAGTATCATAAGCAGGGCAGATGCTTTAGTTGCCACTTGTAGTTCATCATGATACTCTGAATATCACTGATTGCGCTCTTTAACAATATTTGAGGCTTCTACAAAGACGGGCTAGCATTCAACTATCTGGACTACCCATAGCAGTATTTACCTGTGTCTTAGAGTCAGGCCTCAGCCAAGGAAGTTCTCCACTACGCCTCAGCTCTGCTAATTTGGCATTCAGTTTGTGAGCAAGAATAATTGTTAGAGGCATACATTCTTCTGTCTCATCTGTTGCATAACCAAACATCAAACCCTGCAGGAGGACAAGATATAGCTCAATCAGTGTTAAAAGCACAGCAAACAAAGGCAATGAGATTTCATCTGAAGCAAAGAGTAAACAGTACCCTCAGGTTTCCTTTCTACTGTTTTACATTACAGTGCAAGAAGCATAAAGTCAGATCAGACTCCAACACGTTACAGTGTAATATGAAACAAACCACGTTGCTATAATTTTTCACAGAAAGCCTGAAGGTTTACATGTTAAGCTGGAAACCTGGACAAAAATTGAGAAGTTTCTGTAAAAAAATCAGGTTCTTTGACAGGAAAAAAAAATCCATTGGAGTAAAACAATTTCAGGACTACTGTAATAAGAACAGTGTTACCATTAGCCTGGAAACATTATAGAGGCTTTTATGTATGAATACAGACATACTTATATTAGAGCTCACTTCTGAAATTTCAGTGGAATGGGACACACCATTCAACAGTCTAAGGCACCTGACAGATTTTTTTGAATGCCACATGCTCTAGTCACAGCTCCTACTGTTACTCAGTCAAGTTCTCTGCATCAGATTACAATTCTTAAATACAGATAGCAGGATTTTCTTTCTTTTCATCTACTGCATGTTGTGATTTAAAAAAAAAAAGAATTTTTTTTTTAAAAAGACTGGAAAGTACTTTGATACAATGGGAAGGGAGGCTATGAAAGTGCCAAAGAATATCAGATATCTTTTCATATTATGTAATATTAAGTCCCTATGACAGCATAAAAGCATTTTAAATTAGTCCTCAAATGCTTTTTTTCCAACAATATTAGCTTTGCTCCTGGATTCCAATATCTTCATTTATGGTTCTCAACAGCACTGTTATAAATTAGATATTACTGCTAACGATTACAACTGTAAATGTTAAAGTCACTCATACTGGCATCAGTGAGATTATGGCGTTTTTATGTTAGCATCTTTCTCTTGGGAACATACCATAATTATCTGCATGTGTTATTTAGCTCATAGAAATGCAGCTTGTAGAGCCTTAATCATGTAGGACACCTATCAGAATAGCTGCCTCTGGGAAATAAGTGAGAATTAAAAGTACTCTGGCATATTTGACTTCATTGCACTAATGCTGAAAACAGTTGAAATATGGGCTAATATTTCGCTATGGAAAACCTCAAGAGCTCTGTAAAAGTGAAGAGTTCCTCTGTTTATTCCATCTTGCAAGACAAGTGTGACTGCTAGCTAAACAATCTAATGAATCTTAAACTACTCAAACAGAAACAAGAAATACATAAGCAAAAATCCTTTCCTAAATTTTAAAGACACATCCTCAGCTACTAGAAACTGCCAGAGCTCTCCTAACTTTCATGGCATGCTGTAACAAACACTAGGCAAAAATCTGCCCTCAAAGAATGTCCAAGTTTTAAAATAAAAACATGGGCTTTATTTTGGAATACGCAAGATGGAAGTGTGGAAATCTTCACACGAATTTGGATTTAGAAAATAGGGCAATAAGATGAGGTGAGCTTTTTCTGTTCAAACAGGTTTGATGTTTTGGATGTGATGTTATGTCTACCTGATCTCCAGCACCAACATCCTCTTCATTCCTATGTAGATGAACACCTTGGGCAATATCAGGTGACTGCTGTTCCAGAGCCACTAAAACATTACAAGTCTTGTAGTCAAAGCCTATTTGGAAAAAGAGAATAGCAGAGAATTAGCTTTTTCTGCAAAAATAAGGAAAATAAATAGAATCACTAGAAAAGAATTTCATTCTGAAGAATAGTGGATTCAGAACTCAAAACCTAACTTCTATATTTAATTCTTTTTTTTTTTTTTTTTTTTAATAGGACACTTGAAACTTTCTGAGAGGAGGTGGGGTTGCCTTTATTGCTTCTTACTGCTTGTTTTCTCTTGCACTGACAAACTGTGCCAAGCCAATTCAGATTATGAATTGTTAACAGCAGAAAACTAGTTAAAGATAAAACTAATGAGCCTCTCCCAAACAAACAGCATTAAAAGCCTAAACATAAATTCCTGGAAGCTGATATTTTTCAGCAACTGAACATTCTGCTCTCTGATACTTTATTTGTAATATGTGTAAAGCAGTGTCTACATGTGAATATCTTGTGGGACTTTGTGTGAGAGTCACACAGAAAAAAAAAACCTGTTGTAACACTCAAGTATCACATCAAATCTGGAAGTGGAAATTTATTTTACATTACTTTCAAAGACCAAAATGAAGGTTTTTTAAAAAAAGGAAAATACTTAGAGAAGATTGTGGCAATATTTTCCACCTGCTCATAGGTATGTTAATAATATCATGCTTCTCTCCAAATTCAGCCTTCCCTAGAACTGTAACTACTGGCAGCTCCTGATCAAACTCACATTCAGCCAACACACCATATAAGCATAAGTGGGGCTTACAGATGCTACCACAGTACAAATATATAATAGTACAGAGAAAGAAACTAAGTTTCTTCTCTTTCACACCAAGATGCATCAATCACCTTGCCAAATGACTACCCAAGATTTGAGTTCTTATAAATTTTGGTTGAGTCATAGATTCTGTGGCTCAAGTTGCACTTAATTGTTCTGGCCTCATACCACATTTCAAAGTATACTCTGCCTACTCCATTTCTGTTTTAACTAATATGTGATATTCGTTCTACTTACTGGGATGAAGTCAGCAATTGTATTGTATAGCAGCATGTAAGTAGCTTTCATGCAGGACAATCAGTTTTTTATCAATCTTGCTAAAGCCCATACATGCAACTGGTGACAAATCTCTTTTGCTTTTGCCTTTTGTTTCCTCTAAAGGATTTAATTAATTTTTCCACCAACCTTTAGCTGAATCATCATAGCCAATATGTCTAATTGCATCTCGGACAACTCGTTGATAATCCACAATAGCACGAGATGTGATCTCCCCACAGAGCAACACCATTCCTGTCTTGCATACTGTCTCTGAAAAGAGAGATGAAAACAGGATTAAAACATCAGAATAACCCAGGCCACTAAGATAAATAATTATGTTTGTGGTGATGGTGATTTTGAGAGATCTGCTGGGATTTGTAGTATAAATCCTTTCTACAGACATTTTTAGCATTATTAGCTCATTCTACAACAAATTCTTTTCATATTCAACATATGTCTGAAAGTAAGGCAGAGACTAACGTGTCCAATTTACAAATGGGAAAGTCAAAACACTGAGCGTGACTTAGCGATACGCAGAGTTTTAGGGAAATACAGCATGAAGTTGTGATTTCTGAACCAACTTACTCTAAGATACATATTAAAGGCTAAATAAAACTCATCAGTGATCAACTATTTCAGAAATTTGCCTCCAGTCCCAAGAGGTAGAAGCTGAAGATGGGGTTTAGTTACATAATACATAAACTGGGTTAATGACCTGAGAGTTGATGGTACAATTCTTTCTGAAGATATTTCAAAAAGCAAGGAGTTAGATGGACTTGGACTGACAAATCAGGACTTTATTAAATATAATAAATTAACTTTTCAATGAAACATTAAAATATGCTTTCAAAAATCCACTGTAATGAAGCCAAACCTGTTTCTCCCAGGAAAATTCAGTCCACTCACAAAATTAACTATCACACTATTCTACAGCCTGCTTAGGCCTTAGTCTTTATAGAAACTTTACTGTTTCTTCTGATCTTTCCTGCTCTTGAAGACCAGAGTTCTTACGTAATTTTTTGAGAGTAAAAACGAGTTAGTAAACAATAGCATCAAGCTCTTTGCAAACATCATGAAAAAAGAACCATAACTTGGTGATGTTTTAAAGCAAAGCAACAAACAACTTACCACAAGCAACCTTGGCATTTGGGTCCTGCTTCAGATGGGCGTCTAGTACAGCATCGCTGATTTGATCACAGATTTTATCTGCAAGACATCAAAGCTGTGATTCGAGACCATAGTGCTCAATACAAAACATGTGCCATCTGCATCACTTTGAATTTGTAGTTGTTTCAGCAAGGAATTCTTTTATTAGGTATTATTGTAGTATTTAATATAGCTATATAGACGTATGAAACATCTTGCAAGTCAGTAGATACAATGAGTAACTTACTGGTGAAAGGCTAGTACTGACTATAACTTGACTGGTAGTGTGAAACAAGTATGTTATGCGTACAATTACCTGAGAGGCTAAGATGTTTTACTCTCAGCCTTCTCTGTCTCTAACATCACAAGCCAATACAGCATGCACTCCACTTCAGTAGTATTCTAACATCACCATGTTCCATGGTTCCACCATCAGCTTCCATCTCCCCAAAAGAAAGTTAGAATGTGCCTGAGCAACACTGCTGGTAAAGCCTGAGAAGGTGTTTAGATTAATACAGATAATGCACAGCTCAGAGTTAAGTGCCTGTTTCATGTTTGCCTCTTCTCTCTGCATCCCACCATCTTGCAATGACGTTTTCTATTAATCTCTGCAACCCACCTAAGGCAGGGGAGTGAGTAGCATATTCAGAAACAAGAAGGGCTTACCAGCTTATTTCAGTAAAACTGTGGCAAATCTTTAGTATACTTTCAGTTATATCCCAAATACAAAGGTTTCAGCCTAGGCTTTCTCTTTCTCTTTTATTACTTTTTTAACGAAAAATGAATCTTAATGAAATAATGTAGCTAATGCAATGAACACAAAAGGGCAGCACTCCTAACAATGCCTTCCACATGAAAATGGTATTTTTTCTGATATATTTCAATTTTTTGTTCTTAAAAAAAGTCTAGTATTACATGCTATGTTTAGATGTTGCCATAATATGATGTATGGCAGAATAAATTTATCACCTGCCTTGCAATTTGCATAAAAATTGTTGAATGCAAGAAAAATCTGTTGAAAAGCAATGTTTTGTAAGAGTATGTCATTAGAGATGCTGAATACATTTAACTTTAAGTCAGAATAAGTTCTAATTTATTTTCATGAGGAAGGTGCACATTTATCTAAGAGGGACAAATCAAAGACTAGAGAACTAATGTGATTGTGACACTTATCTTCCATATTAACCACTTAAACACAAAAAGAACGAACACACAAGAAAATTAGCAAAAGACAATTAGTCTTCATTGGAACTTTTAGCTTTGAAAGAACTGTACAGGGATTACTCTATTTGGGACAATTATTACCAAACAGGAATCAGACACCAGTCCTGCAATTCAGTTAGAAGTCCAAATGAACCCTGTTTAGCAAGACTGGGAACAAATTC